CTAATAATATGCATATCAGCATGGTTTGCTATTATGGATATTCAGATTCATGATTCCGCCACAATATGATCTGTATGAGTATTTTGGTAAACAAATCATAATCTCTACCCATTCTGCGGCGATACACGACGCGAATCCGTACAGAAAATTATCAGCGTTTGAAAAGCTTCATTCCATTCTTTGATTTCTTACCTTTCATCTTTCACCCATAAGTAGTTGGTCTATAAAATGCTCAAGTTGATGATGCCTTTATTACCAACGGTAGATTTGAGAGCGTAAGAATTTGCGGCGATTTTTAATATAATGATAAATCAACTTTCCTATTTTTAAATTGCCAGAACACAAGAGTTGAAAATATGAAATATACACTCTCCTTTGTTTGTCTCTAAGGATTTTGGTTGCTCAAAGCTCTTATTGTTATTGTAACCTGTTTATCGCATGTCCTTTCGGTAATCATTACCGTGTATGTTTAGCTTTTGCTTAGAGTGATCCATCAGACGGCGGTAAAGGAGATAAAAGAAATAAACCGGCAATAAATTATACTCGAAAAAAGAGAGACGTTCTACATAAAGACAGGTCGCAGGACGAAGTTTCTGCTCCCCTTATTACTCATTTCCGATGGTCTGTTTAATAACTGGTCAGATCCCAAACAGAGATTGAGAGATGCATTTTTCTATGGTAGGTCAAATATTTGGTTGTACGAAGTTCAACACGGTTAGGATGGGACGCCAAAGTCGGACGGGTCTGTCTGGCAGGCATATCGCGCGGTGACATCATGGAAGAGAGCTCTGCGGAGCAAAGCCCGTTAGTATAGCGGTAGAAAAGGGCTAGATCGCCGATGGCCCGCCGGTGCGAAAGAGTCCCGAGACTGTCTTTTAGAGAAGAGTCATCGATCAGTCGGACCGCCCTCCTCTGGACAGCATCGAGCATGGAAAACGTAGTCGGGGCGGCAGCACCCCAAACGTGTGAGCAATACTCGAGGCTGGGCCTTATCTGGGCGTTGCATAGAATGGGAAGATCGTGCGGAGAAAAGTACTTCTTAGCCCTAAACAAATAGCCTAGCTTTTTCCCAGCAGCTGCAGCTATTGACGAGACGTGTTCATGCCAGATCAGGTCCTCGGTGATCTGGGCCCGACTAGCCGAAATGGATGGCTCTTTGGCAGAACTCGGCCATCCATCAAAACCGGATGAGCGCTAGGACGCTTTTTGGTTCGTCAAAGTACAGTACTGTGTTTTGGAAGCATTGAACTGTACAGGATTGTTGCGTCCCCAAGCAGTGATAGCCTCCAGGTCTCTTGTCAGAGAGGGAGTCCTCGCTAGTCTTCTTTTTTCCAGCTCAGCTGCAGAGATCGGCTTGTCACTCTGAATTCCTGCATGTAGAGTGGTGTCATCAGCGAAGCTGTGGATTGGGTTGATCCTGCAGGAAAGGAGGTCGTGGATATGTAAGAGAAACTGTCGGAGCCAAGACCGATCCCTAAGGAACACCCGCGTTGACGTTGTGGGCATGAAGAGGAGAACCCGTCATTTACTAAGGATATCTTACGGCCAGAGATAAAGTCAGCCACCCATCTGCAAAGCTTTTCTGGGAGGCCATAGGATGGAAGTTTGCTTAAGAGGGCAGCGTGCCACAGCTGATCGAACGCTTTCGTGATGTCAAGAGCAACAATATGAGCCTCACCATAAGACTGGATGAGTTTACTTCACAATTGCGTGACGTAAGCTAGGAGATCCCCTGTGGATCGTTGGTGCCGGAAACCATACTGCCTGTCGCTAATCAAGCCGTGGCGTTCGAGGTAGTCCAGAAGCTCGCGATTTATGCACCTCTCCATCACCTTATTTATAACAGAAAGCAGAGCTATAGGCCTGTAGTTGTAAGGGTCGGTCTTAGATCCTTTTTTTGGAATGGGTTGGACATGAGCAAATTTCCAGTTTTCTGGGAAGGTGCCGGATTCATAAAATATCTGGAAGAGACACGAAAGAACTGGACCAAGCTCCGCTGCACACCTCTTCAGTACAATGGTAGGAATCACGTCCGAACCAGAAGCTTTGTTGATGTCGAGCGACAAGAGCACTCGCCTTGCGGTCTTATGCCTGATTGTTACCTCCCGCATAGTGTAGGGAACTCTTTGAATTGACGGCACTTAGGCGTCGGGGGGACGTCCATGGTGGAGTTGGCAGCAAAGATCTTGGCTAGCATTTCCGCATTGGCCTTTGAGTCGAATAAAATAGTTCCATCCTGACACGTAAGTGGTGGAAGGCTAGTGTGTGAGAAGTTCTTTTCAATCTGCTTGGCCAGCGTCCAGAAAGACCGACTGACATTGCGCTGCGACATTACCCTGTGCCTAAATTTTATATCGTGCTGGTTTTTGGCATTGCGAACCGCTTCGTTATATTTGTTTCTGGACTCGACGCCGGACCCTGGTTTAGGCACTTTCGCTGTTTGAGGGATGTATTCCTCCATTCCGACGTGGATAATTTCTGTTATGGAAGAACAGACAGCCGACGGACCCGCGTCAGTGGAACAGACGTCCCTGCAAGGAAGGTTAGAGAAGAAGTCTCTGAGCCCCTCCCAGGTCGGCATGTCCGTAATGTCAAGTTTTGCGGCCTGTACGAGTTTCTGCTGCCACAGCGATGCCAATATTAAGGAGGACCTAAAAGCCACGATCTAGATACTGAATACCCGGCAGATGACCTATCCACTGTAGGCTTGATTGAAAATATACGGGCTGAATACCCTCACGACTGTGCGTCCACCAAATCGGTGCGGCAAAGCCCGGAACTACGGTACCCAAATTTAACAAAAAACACGATCTGGGTCATCCCTCTGGAATTTTGCCGGGTGACAAAGGGGAGCCTCTCAGGCCTCCGTATAAGGAGGACCTAGCGCAACGGAGTACCTATCGACTCTAAAAAGCCAATAAGTGGAGGACCTAACCATCGGAATCTGTATTTATATTACACATATAAATATATATATATATATATATATATATATATATATATATAGGTGAAAAATTAAAGCTTCCGCCTTTTGTTGGGTACTTCGACAAAATTTAAGCAAAGAGGACTCTTTATACTTTTTTTTAATTCTCTCTAGCTTTCAATGGACTTTGCCATCATCATCTGGAGCTGCAATTACAATGATAACAGTAGCAACAAAGGTGTAAAATGAATTTAAATTGACTCAACTTACAGTAGTATGTGAGGATGTTGCTAATTGTTGTTTACGTATAGGATGAGGGAAACGTCCAGTAACATGGTGAGAGCTGGATAGATTTTACAATAGTCAAACTTATGTAAAATATGACAAGAACAAGTTAAAAACAGATTAAAAATTATTTAAATTTTTTTTTTTTTTTTTAAATTTTAGAGCATTACATCGCGAAGCCACTTGATGATTGCACAAATTAGTGGTCATGGAATGATGAGTGACATGAAACCCTTTGACAGAAGGCCGAAGGATGTCAATGTCAGTATTGAAAGATGGAACGAATTGTGGGCGTGTGCCAAAACGTTGCCAAATCACTTCAGATGATGAGATTTTCAGAATTTTATGTTAGAATTTGTTAAACCGACCAGAGGCAGTTGAATAAACTATATTATTATTAATGGGAATTTAAATTAACAATTATTAATAAATCGTGAGAAGAGAATTATTATATTTTGAGTGGAATGAAATTTACTGGTGGAATCGGCCAAAACACAGATTCTAATTATGGTTGTGAAGAGTTGAAATTTGGGGAGATATGTAAGTTCTCCAATTTTTCGCAGTTTAGCAAATATGAGTAAATGACACTCAGTTGTTTAACATCTGTCTTTTTGTTGATACAGTTGTTATTCATGAAAATGTGGGACATTTCCACACAAAAGGCGGAAGCTTTAATTTTTCACCTAACTGGTCTAGACGACAATGACCACGTCTCAAGTTATATATATATATATATGTAATATATATATATATATATATCAAAGCAGCCGCTTAGGCAGAAGCCTAAATGCCGGAACACCGCGGCTGCTAAGATGATCCCAAAGAAATTTTGTAAATACGATTTTTGAATTCCCTAAGGTTAGTAGAACTGAGAAAAGCTTCCTCTTGTAGATTGTTCCACAGTCTCAAAACTCTCGGAACAAAGGAGCGGTCGTATCGCCCAGTTCTGGATGAAAGAAGCTCGACACGGTTAGGATGGGACGCCAAAGTTAGGCGGGTCTATCTGGCAGGCACACAAAAGAACTAGATCGCCGACGGCCCGCCGGTGCATAGTGTATAGTATAAAATAATAAAAAAATAGTCAATTCCATGCAATTAAAACAAAAATAATATCCTTTAAAATACAAACAAGTAATAAATCAATTTAGAATTCTCAAAAAAAATACAGTTTCTGTATAAATCCATAAACAAAAGTAACAAATATACAAAAACATTTTTATAAAAATCTAATACGGGCCACGTAGCAGTCTGAAAAAATGACATATTGTTATTCATAAATAGATTTCCAGTATACAGTGAAAATTTTTCTATACTATTCACTGAAAAAAACCTCCGTCAGTAGTTAAACAACATCATTTCTAACTCACTCTGCCAACCTGCCTCAGCCACCCCAGACCACCCCAGCCCACCCCTCCCAAACAGGTCAGAAAGGCCCAAAGACCACGTGACAGACCACGTGACCCACCCCCATGACGTCACGTATGCCATAAATGCCGAATACCATGTGACCCGCAGAAATGGCGAAAGTAGTGAGTGAGAAAAGTGTGTAATCGTGATATATAATTATGCATGAGAGAGTAGTCTTTCGCCCCTAGCCTATCTTTGGTTGGTAAAAAATTTTTACGGATACATATGCATGAGGAGCCTCGCCTAGCCTAGCCTAGCCTAGGCTGGCCTAATTGCGACCGATGACGATGACGACGACGACGACCATCCTTCATGTCATGAGATAATAGTCATATGTGCGAGGGAAGAAATGAAACGACAGCGGTAGTGTGATATTTTCTATGCATTACAATGTTTGCAATGTTACAGCATTAGATATAACATTCCAATTACATAACAAATGAACATTTTCTAAAGCACAACGCATATTATTATACACATGTTTATAACAATGTTTGTACTGGAACATTTCCTTCAGCTTGCCAAGATTTGGGCATCCTAGTTCATGTAGATCGGTGATGGGATTAGTGATGAATCTTTCCAACCACTGTTTCTTCGGGCGTCCCTTGACAAATATTGGTTGATCTTGAACATGTTCTTTGATGAACGATGTCAACTGTTCATAATGAAGATATGACTCTTCAGAAGGAGATAAATCCCAAGGAATTCCATGTAAATTGTCTACAGTCCAGTTGATCTGTGACTGTGTGCTCTTGTTGAGCATTGTAAATTCTACGGGTAGATTAACTAATTTTTGTTGCCAATATCCCGTTGCTGTATTAATGATATCAATTTCTTTGCAAATAAAGTTGGAGCCACAAGTAAACCCTTGAACGTCAATAATGATCATTTTTTTGTGGACTGTCGAATGCAAACGCTGCACAAGAAGACTGAACATGAATTGAGATTGTTTATTAGACAATATTCTTTTTATGTACCCAGCTGTCATGTTGCTTATCGAATCCTAACCATCTGACCTTGATATTGTCTCCTTTTTTTCCAATATTTTTTCTACAAGATAAACATCAGGCTGTTTTACCTTTTGCAGTTGTTCTGTATAAAACCCTCCTAAAATACTTTGATTATTTTCATCTTTCAACAAATATGTTATTGGGTTAGTTAGTGTTACTTTTCGTATTGTGAAAATTTCTGGCGACCAATTTGGCTGATATTTCTTATCAAAAACACCTCTTATTTTAGAAATGCGTACATAATCACCCACTTTGAATTTCGTTTTTAAGTTTACCGTTTTCAAGCGATTATATACAGTATATAATAGTTTTTTTTTCATTCTTTTTTGTAACATCAGCTGGCTTCATTTGTATATTTCTATGCTTCTCATTGTTGTATCGTTCTACCAGTTGTGGTAAAATACTTATCCATTTATAATTTCCCTGCAGACTAAATTCTTTCCACATCATATTTTTTAAAGTTCGATTCACTCTTTCCACAATGGCTGCCTTCTTTTCGCTGAATGTATGATAGTGATTTATATTATATGTCTTCATTAGGTATTTAAAATCATGATTGAAAAAATTCCAGTCCAGCGTCTGTTTGTAGATGTTTGGGTGTTTGTTGTTTTAGTATAGTTTCCATAGCTTTTGTAACCGCTTTACCTGTTTTATTTTGTAAAGGTAGAGCCCAAAGAAATTTAGAAAAGCAATTAATCACAACTAGTATATATTTGTTGTCTTTATTTTTACTCGAGTATGGTATCATTTCTACAAGATCTGCTTGGAAAAGTCGTTTAGAGATTTCAAAATGGTTCGTCTTCTTTGGAAATTTATACGTGCAAGTTTGTGTAGTTCTTCAACGACTTGACGTTTTATACTTGTTTTAAATGTTTTAACCATTATTCAATATATTGACTTTCCCTTAATTCCTCAACTATCGAATTGATCTCATTAACATGACCCGAGTGACCAGCAGCTCTTGATGCAGTCAACAAGCGTAGACGACTTACAAGTTCATTTGGATCATCCCAGTATATATAATCTTTATCATTGCTAGAATATTCCATTGTCGTGGCCATATTTTTATTGTTCATTATTCCATAACCCATTTTTAAAGGAGGTGCTATAATTTTTTTATATTTTTGTAGCTTACTCCCATCCAGTTGAGTATTAGATCTGTAGTACCTCCTGTGGGCATTAGTTTTATATACAATTTGCCTGTATGTGTTGGCATCGTCAGAGCTGCAGAAATTCATGTTCAGATATTTTCTAAATAACAATTCGTATAAACCTTGACTGCCCTTGTACCGTTTACCTTTCACATATACAGGGTGACTTTGAAGTTGAGTCATTAATTTTCAGATAGTGATTGTAGAAGGAAGATAAATCAAAATATGTGTGTAAAAATAAAAAAAAAATAAAAAAAAAATTACCTTGTTTTATAAAGTATCCGACAAGTATTTCAGTGCGGACCTGTATTCGATCGTGCGGTCTTGGAGCACCGGCATGCCCTCCCCTGTGAGGTCTTAAGTCACCTGATTCACGAGCCCTTTGTACTACATTAACAAAGGCACGAGGGGTTGGTTGCACTCTATTGGGAAACCGATCCGCATAAATCCGTGATGCCCCGTAAATAAGAATCATGTCCACAAGTTCAGCATTTTCGTAAATATGTGCCATTTTTGATTTCGTTTGAGCCACGCAACAGACACCACTATTCACTCACGCGTTACCGACTGACACTGACTGTATACAACTGAATAAAATAATTGTAAAAACATCGTTCCAAATTCTTTCGCTTTTTTGTTTCCGATGCGATGAACCGATAAGGCGGATTATATCCGCTGTTGCCAAACACGAGCACATAATATTATTATTGAGACAGGGCGGAACTCAAACTTCCAAAGGGCTATAACTTTGTTACTTTAATTTTACCAGAAAAATGGTAAAGGAAAAAAACATTTCTTTTGATCAGATCTACTCACTGTTAAAATAAATGACTCAACTTCGAAGTCACCCTGTATATCAGCTCCCATAAAGTCTAATTTAGAATCACCAATCATAAATTGTTCGATTGTTTAATCGAGCCTGACACCATACTTATGACCAAATTCTCGATTATTTTTGTCTGCATACATTTCACTGATGTCAGAATTTATAACGTCTATGATGGATCTTTTTATACTACTTGGTGGATCCTCATCATCATCATCATCATCATCATTAACATCATAATCGGAGTGTTCCTCACTTTTAGAAATTGTCCTCTTTCTGGGTATCGCTGATATAAATACTAATTTCCTTTTACGTGATTCAGACAGAGCTGTAGGAGTTGTCCATAATGCTCCTTCATCATGAGGTGCTAATACCTTGTCATTGGATGTGTCTAGGTATACTTCTTGTTTTGCTTGAGGCCTTATAGCAGCTTCAGCTACTTGAGAAGAAACTGAGGTAACAGGAGGAGGAGGTACCGTATTGACATCAGTATAATTTTGGAGTTTAGATTCGATACTTTTTAAATGTTTTGTGATGGGATTGTACAAGGCTTCTTGTAACATTTCCCCATGTTTCAGTTGATGTAATTTTCTTCGAACGTTTTGACGCTTCAATATAAGTCTCTCTTTGAAACGACTTCCAGTGAATAGTTTATCCATAATCATAATCCTATCATCAGGTAATCAGATTACGATCAGGTGGTAAACAGCGTGCGATCAGGTGATGATCAGGATTTGATCAGTTGTCAGTCTTTTCTGAAGGTATCGGACAAAAATTTATCCATATAAATAAAATGATCTATACCCTTCCTATATCGACCGTTGTCAATGTTACAGTCTTTGAATATGGTCAAAAAATCATATGAAATTTGCCAACATACTGTGCATATACGTTTCAAATCATCAAATGGCATATCAGGACCCACATGATCATTATATATATATATATATATATATATATATATATGTTTTGAATTTAAATCATCCTGTTTGAAAAGTATAAGGATATTTGTATTATCCCTTACTAGATGTTTAGGTATTTTTGCATATTTTTGACACAAGTAGAAAGAATCTATACTGTTAGGACGTCCCATACTGAAATATTCTCGGATAACATCCTGATTATCGCATGCGACATCATCAAAAATAAATATGGAATTTGGTTTGGCATCTGAAGGATGTAAAATGTTGTCACTCGCATTGAATGAATATTTTATCCCTTTTATAGGTGTTAACAATTCTGTCAGATATTTACATTTTGGTTGATACAAAGACTTTGAATACACATAAACATTTTCAAATTTTAACCCGTTTTCATGTTCAATCAAATTGTTTTTCCACAATTAGAAGGTCCAACTATAAGGCATCGCAACGTTGAAGGAAACAGCACACCATGTTTGTTTTGGATAGACGTATCCTTGAATACATCACTGTTATCAATATCTAAGGTTGTTTTTTGCTTAACAATTTTCATGTCGTTCTAATAGTACTGCGCTGCTGCAATAATGAAACTGATTACAAAGAAGGAATGTATGCATCTTTCAAGCTATCTTTAAATGATAGAAAATTGAGAAATAAAGAGGATATGATATTTTCAAAAAAGGTCTTTATTCATTTTTCCAATCAGTAGCCAGGTAACCAGTCTGTTCTTTTTTCTTGGATGCCTGGTCTTGCTTGGAAACACACAGGGCAATATCTAACAAATACATTCTGTGGTCTCCAGTCGACGTCCAAGGTATCCGCCGCCGCCGCTGGTCGCTCCTTTATAATTTTTCCGCAAACACCACATTTGGTCACCTCGATGACGTATGCCACGAAGAATGAGCAGGTTTTCTTCTTAGAGTCTTTTTTAGAGTATATATGTTTACCAATCCACCCTGTATCTCGCTTGGACATCCTCTCTCTCTCTCTCTCTCTCTCTCTCTCTCTCTCTGTTACTCGCTGTCGATGTCTGTCCTTTTTACGACTTGGGAATTTTCTCGTGACAATACAGATCCACTTGTTGGTGATCTGATGTTGTTGTCGTTTGCCTTACTGGATGGTTCATTACTGATTCTCTACAAAAACAAAAGTAATGTTTTCAATTGTCACAGAACTTACTCCCTTCTGTTGTGTCGTCGTAGTGTCTCTCAGAAATCGTAGTTGGTCGTATTCGTTTGCTGGGTTTCGTGTTTTGAATGTTTTGGAATCGTTTGTTGCTTGAGTTTAGAACATTCTAGAAAAATAAAAAAATAAAAAAAATATTATATGTATACTTACATTCAAAGCTTATTGTGGCTAAGAGTTAACGTGGTTGTAGATTAGTTTTATGGACAAAAACAGAATCCAAAATTACAGAAGAAATCAAAAGTAATCATGATATCCCCATGGTTTTGTGTCTCTATAAATATAATTGACAATTCTTTTATCGTCATATGGACTCAATGCAATTTTTTGTTGGGAAATTGTGAATACATTGTGATGTTTCGAAATTATGGATTGCTGTGTTACAGCTACTTGAGTATTTTGGAATAAACATTTATGGTAATCATCCAACGTTATTTCCTCCAAAGCTGAATTTTGAATTCCTTTCGCTTTTTTAATAACATGAGAGTCCTTGTTGTTGTTGTTGTTGCCTGACTCAGGCAAAGTTCTCAAAGCATACATTTTTGAACGCAACCCAATGAAGTGTGTCATGATTCGATCTTGATTTTCATCTTTCGTTAACCCTATAACTTTTTTGTTTTACAATGGAATTCCAAAAACGTTGTTTTCTGGACGTATCAAATCTATCAATGTCTTCTTTGATGTGTTTGTAAATGTCATCAATATTTGAAAACTGATTTATTAAACTATCTGTATCAGTATATAGTAGTTTTGAATCATCTTTGAATTTGGGTTTAATATAATTGTAATGAAAATCATATATGTAAGTTTTAGATATGTCCAATATCGACATACCAATGAAAATTGGTTTGTTTAATGTAGCTTTCAGTTTATTCATTACAATTATGACCATATCTTTATCAAATATAGTGCAGCTATGAAAGTTAGGTTGTGCAATATAGTATTTTGCACCGTATCTGCCTGACCACTTAGTAACCAATTTTATGTCTTTATATTTCCTAAGATTTTCAATCGTTTTGCCATAAGGGGCATTATTAATTAATTTGAAAAAAAATTTCTCGAAATCATTTGTACCTTGCTTTCTGAGCTCTGTATTAAGATCAATGTATTTTTTTAACCAAGTTAACTGTCTAAATTTTAAACAACGATGAACTTTCCTAATGACAAGTCCCAACTGCTTAGCTTGTTTCAGTAATGCATAATGTACTACATACTTTTGTTTATCGTACAAAGTTGTTAACAATTTTGGTTTATCAGAATACGAAGTAGGTGGTACTAAGTGCTCAGGACACAATGGTAGATCTTTATGTGAATCGCGTAAATGGAGAGGATAGTGTAGATCAACTTCTAGGATGTATCCGTATTCGTTTTCATCAGCACTCAAAATATTTTCAATAGAGATGTTATCAACTGGAACCCATTGAAAATCCCTATATGGTAACGAATGTGACATTGCAGCTCCATATAAATTAGACATATCATAATACATACATCAAAAACGAAGTTGGTAAATCAGGATTGTATTCACTATTCATGAATTTATTGTTAGCCTCACCGTACCTGTTAGAACATTGCGATATACCTCCTCTGATACCTTTTTCTATGAATAAAGCCATATCACTGTCAGTCAACAGTTCTAATTCAACATTAGTGACTTTAAGCATGGCATCAAAAGCTAGACCTGGCATGGTAAAATAGTGTAATGCATCTAAATTGTATGTGTGCAAACACATATGACGGAAATTTTCGAAAACATCACAAAGCAGCAAAACATCAGTTTTCAAGTATAATTCAGCGTATTCCTGAAGATTTTTGATATGAAATGCTTGCCAAACATTCAGTGCATGCTGATAGTCATCATTCGAAATAGCTTCGTTTTTGACAGTACTGAAAAAATCATCTTTTTGTGGTAACCGTGTCTCTTTTAATTTCTCCCACGAATTTAGATATTCATATGGAAAAACTCCTTTCCTTATTACCAACTCAAACTTATTATCGTCAGGAAAATGTTCCTTGATTATTTTCTTTTGATGATGATCTAGATATGAGGATAACTTGTCCAGACTACTAGGTAGGAACCGGAAAGAATCAAGAAACCGAAAACTGATGTTAGTACCGGCAATGTATTTTGTAAACGAAATATAACGCTCTTTATTCAAAGGTATTAAATTGAGATTTCCTTCAATATTGGTGCTGAGAGCTCTGATTATAAAATGTGCATCGTATCCAGAAAAATTGTGGAACAACACAGGTACAGTACGTGAGTTCCAATAGTTTACGTTACAAGACATATGAGCTGCTCCCCTATATTTACCTGTTAAGTGACAATGATCTTTAACTCTCACTTCGTCTTCATCAAAAGTTTTCTCACAAATACTACAACTGGAAGTCAAACGAAAACCTTTCGCCCCATCACTGTTTAGATCTATAGGTTCGCATGTCTGATAAACTTTATGAAGTACTTTAGCAATGTTGAGCAATTCATTAACAAACCAATTTTGACAATCAGCACCCGTATGCAATCTAAATTTGGAAGGATATATATTTTCGTAATTCGATTTAAGATAGTAAGCTACACTAAAAGCCACATGCTTTTGAAACTTTTGTGTGTTATTTGTTCCATTGTCATCATCCTCATAATTCATAAGTATGCTTTCAATATCTGCATAAATGGCAAAAGGAACACATAATTTATTCCTAAAGTTTTTAAATTTCATAATATTATTAGTTTCATTAGGCATAACGACCTTAGTGCTGTTAAGCTGCTTACAATCTTCAGAATGTTTTCTGAAATGATGTTCACTTGAAAAATAATTTAGACACCTTTCTCAAATCCATTTTTGTGATCTTTCCAACCTATTTGTCTACTTATTAGGCGTGACAAATTTTTTATATACGCAAAATGATAAATAGTGTCAGCATTCGAATTGTAACTATCATTATTGCAAAACATAAGTAAATTGATTCTAGGCGTGAAATTAGTTTTACTGAGTATCAATGGTACAACTTCATTCATTCGATTGCCTACGAGTGTGAACACATTTATTGCTAGGTTATTCATAATCTCAAACTTGGGTATATCTTTCAAACGTATAGGAAACTGATATTTTCGTATTTCAATACTGTACTGAAATGAGGATATGATGATTGGCGGGCTACATTTTTTTCTACAGGATACAAGGCGCTTACAACTGACCACAAAAAACAATAATTATCATTATTTTTAATATTAATTACACTTTTTGACTTTTGTATAAATTCTGGTGAGGGAACATAAGTTGAAACACCAACATTTATGGGGCAATATCTATTAATATTCACTTTTAAATGCAAAATTTCTAATAAGGCCCATCCAGAATCACGCTCTTGGAACTCTTCTAATTTTCTCAAAACTTGATCAGTGACATGAACTTTATACCACTCTTTTAAATTGGTATTTCTATCAATTATATGACTTTTTGTAACAAAATGTTTGATCGATCTTTCAGCAGTCTGAGGCTTAATGAACAAACTATAAAAAATAAAGTTCGATTTTAACATACAAATATCAAGCTGTTTTCTTATTTGTAACGCAAAACTTTTAAATGCTCTCTTGAAAAATAATTTTCAAATTAACTATAACACCTGACTTAATTCTATTCTTAAAGCATGAATCCACATTTGCCCAAACAACCTCTCTATTTTGGCTTTTACGATTTCTTTTATATTTGAAGTTTTCAAGGTAAGTGACAAATTAGACTCTATTTTTGAAAAATTCTTAACCCAATCAAACTTATGTTTGATACACTTATTAAGCGCTCTAATACATTTTTGTATCTCTTTAATATAAAAGTTGTAATCTGCTTTTGTCCTAACTAATCTACTTACCACCTCTATTCTCCTAACGAATTCGTCAGACACAGTATCGATCACCTTTTGGCTGTTACTCATTTGGATATGTGTGTGTGTGTGTGTGGGGGGGTGTGTGCGTGGGTGTGTGTGTGTGTGTGTGTGAACACTGATGACGAATGTGGTCAAGGTGCTGGCTTAAATACAGTGAAATCTAACAAAAAATGCTATTTATCACTAATAAGGAATCATACGATTCTATTCTAGAAAAACATGTTGTGCACATGTGCATCAAATGTTATTTTCCACTGATATGGAGCCGCATGACCCGATGACACCGGACTTTCGATAGTTTATGTTATTCATGCAATTATGTAAAACATGATGATTATGCACATGCAGCAAAATCTTATTTTCCTTGATATGGAGAATGACGACAATGACCTCTGATCTTAGACATCATGCAATTATAGAATCATACGATTTTGTTTGATGGAAAGCTATCTTACATTTTATGGAAGCAAACAGTCAGCTTGCAATTGATATGGATGTTTTTTGTTTTTTTCCTAGAAGATCTTATTTGAACAAATCTAAAGCATTTCGAATAAGTCAAACAAATCATTTACCTTGGTAGTGTATGGGTACAGTTCTATTAATCTTTTTTTTTCTTCTTCTTCAGATACGGTGTCAGGGAGATCAAAGCTAGCGGTGACAAAATCTTCGTAAAATTAACTTACTCACCAAAAGCAGCAACATTAAAACGAAAATTCGGCTTGCTGCCAATCAAATATTTGAGGACCAAATTGGATAAGAACGCGGAATTCCAGGTATTGGAAAGAATCGTCAAAAAATATCGGTTCAATTTGTTGGACGAACAGTTGGAAGACATCAATCGACAGTCTATACAAGATCGACCTGGAACGAGTGGTCTTGGTGGTCTTGGTGGCAGTCGCGGTGGTGGTGGTGGTGGTAAGAAGAGAAAGTTGTATCTGGAACCACCAGTGCTACAAAATGTGGTAGTTGATGATGATGATGAGCAGGAGGAGGAGGAGGAGGAAGAGGAGAAGGAGCCTACGCAAAAGGTTAGGAAACCACCACCACCACCACCAGCATCTACAACAGTCACAGGCAATGATAACGATGACAATGATGATGATGATGACACATTGTTATTGTCATAAAACATATTTTAAAATAAAAAAGTGATTTCTCCACAAGTAATGTTTTATTTACACACTCCCTCTTTACATGTTATCAATACAAGATCAACATCTTTTATCAAAAAACTTTTACAGTACTATTTAATGGATTTTATTTTACAAGACGATCATGTAATATCAAACAAAAGGCAGTACTATTTGGTGGTATATTTACGGTAGTTTCAAATTCCAATCTAATATCAACAGAACCCGATTTTAATGACTCATTTTGCGTGCTGCAGTCAATAACAAAAAGTGGGGTTGCATCAATGAAAGTTTTCAAGTTTTACATGGCTCACTGGAATTTCTATAATAATAGGACTGCTGAAAGCGCACATACATTTCATACAAGATACAAAAATAATTTCTGCTCATATTGAAAGTTACATTGTCATAAGGATAAATTTCAGAATTCAAAAATAATTTGATATTGCTCAGGTTACAGTGATCAAAGTGACTCAAGTTCTTAGTCAGCTGTCCTTTCCGATCAGTTTGAAAAGCAACAATAACGAAACGTGGCTTTTCCAATTGATTAGTCGCCTTGACGTTCCATGTATGTTTATTTGTCTGTTGTAAAATGGGGCACTCATGCAACTCCCAACTCCTGAACGCTAGTTGTCCCTTCCTTTCTCTATGTACTTCATGAGGTGTAGTTTTTCAGTATCAGCTACTTGGATGTGTGGAATTCTCCATAGTATTCTGTACAGATCCAAATGAGGTTTCTCGCCAGGTGTTGTCGTTACAATTGCATTAACATCTGTGGAGCTTCTTATAAGGACCAATTCCTGTCTGATGTTGATTAGTACTTTTTTAAAGTCTTCAAAAAACCCCATTAAATTTTTCAGTGGAATAGTTACACTGAAATAACCTTCACTGTTTCGTATTTCGGGTAATTCTTGATGATTCCAGCCTGCATGTTGGTAACTATTACCTTCATTGTTTGTGAAAGACACCAGTCCTTTAATGGTGGTTGTTATACCAGGATTGCGAACTCTATCAACAACTATACCTCCAATTTCATATCGCAATTCATCAAATAAAAATGATACAACATTATTTACGAGGCGTAATGTTGGTGACCATTTCTTCTCCTTTGCCTCTACTAATCTTCCTTCAATGTACAGTGAGCTATTACAAGGTAGTGTATAGATATCTTGTGTTTGTATTGGTATTTTTATTTCATCTGAATTATTGAAAGTTGTATTAGCGTATGGTGGATGGCTATGCATTTCACAATTGGTAATAGAATTATCCATTAAAATATTTTCTCCTATGTTGAGAATATTGAAGCTCATCTTTTTTTGTGTGTTTTATCAAACAGCTACACTTGAGGTTAACAAATAACTTTTGTAGTTCAGAGTAGAGTGCTAATTTTATGCGTAGTATTAATCCAGCAGTGCAGGTATTGCTGCTGCTGCTATTACTATCACTATTGACCGTTTGTTCTTGATATGCGTCCGTCACACTTATGCAATCACCTTAAAGCAAAGCAACTGTAGAAATTGTATATTTTCGGATGTTAATCCCTTGCTTCCTTGTTTACTACTAACTGTTTTACCAGCATGAATTTGTTTATTAATAGTTTTTGTTGATCTATTTTGACCTTTATCCTTGTTATTGCTGTTGTTGTTGTTGTTCTCGCTGTTAGCTGAGCTCAACGGTGCTACAATATTATAAAGGAGTACCATGCTAAAGTTCTCTTAAATGTACTCTTATCGTTATCACTTCTCCTTTAAAATTAACCAAATTTCTGTCTTGATCCACTACTTTAAGCACTATTTCATCAATGTAATGGTTATTTATTGGTAGATAAATGATATTTGATACTTTTTCTATTATGCGAAATCCACTAGCCACGTTAGGGTAGAACATATGCAACGTGTGAACAGCATGATCATTTCTAAAAGAATTCGTTATCAGATTACATTCCACACATATAGAGTTCACTTTGAAACATTTACAGGAAAATCTGAGATGTGTAGTTTATGTGGACTCAATTTTCTCTTACTAAACCTTAATAACCCACCTATTGTAGAAGTTTGCTCAAAATCGATGAGTCAGTTACTTTTAATTTCAAGCCGTAACGTATTTAAATTATTTCGCATATAAAGTTGTATGTCAGGCTGTTTATCCTCTTTTAAAATTGCATTTGAACTTAGAGATCGTTTTTGTTTTTGTTGTGGTTGTTGTTGTGGGGACATTCTCCTTTTTTTATTTTGTTCACCTACTCGTGGTTTGATTCTCTCTTTAATAAATTCTATAATGTCTGTGATTTCATAACTACCTTCGGGTATTGTTAAAACCTCATCATCAATATGAAACTTATTATTTGTTATATCTATGTTTGTATTGTGTTGAAAGTTAAAAAATCAATAAGTCCTAAAGCGTATGTTTTCCTATTATCCAGTACGATAGGTGGATAGATTTTAGCTGATAACACAGACTCTCTACCAGATAAGGTAAATGAATACATGATATGAACCGATCAATGGTCATAGATGAAATAAACAAGTGTTATTATGGTAACCAGTATTTATTCACTTTTGAGAAAACGTAAACACAATTGACCACAATTAACAGTATTAAATCTTTGAAATACATTATAATTGTACTGTATTCTACAGGGTCCACTACAATTAAAATATACAATTGCTTCCAATGGTGGTTCTAAGTTTCCATATGTATCTAGGTAAACCACCAAGTTTCCTTTTTTCTTATATGCAGTCCAGTGAGTACCTGGTCCAGTAGATGTATCCAAATTAGTGATTCCTCTATCATTGATTTTTATTTTTTGTACTTTAAATACTCCTCGAAAATACGGTATTTTTAAACGCTTTGCATACTTTTCCAGTTCAAAGTTTGTTAACGGGTGACTATTTGGAATTGAAATTTTTTTAACTACTTGTTTTTTCTTTTTCATTTTCCTTTATCTCACAACTGGTTTCAGTTAGTGTATGGTTGCAGGAAAAGACGCATTCCCGTTTTACAGGGTCTCAAAAACATTCCCTTTCCAAGTGCTACAGCTTCCATCATTTTATTATGACGTTGAGATTCTTGTAATTGCTGCTTCGCAGAGTTTGCATCACTGACAGCCTTCGCAATACCAGCAGCACCGCCAGACAAAGCTCCAAGGGCTGATAAGCCAGCAAAAATTGGGATTAGTGGTAGTACACCTCCTTTTTTCGGTATCTTCACTATACGATTTGGCGGCTTTCTTACACCTTTCTTCAAATTTTGTGCCTCCCTCAGTGCTACAAGTACTGCTTCTCCAAAGGTAGTAGGTTTTTGAGCTACCACATGCTTCCCTATTCGTTTAATTGCATTAGAAAAGCTAACCTTCCTTTTCGTACTTGATTTACTTTGATTTTTTTTCTGTCGCTGTGATCGTTGTTGTTGTTTGTCAATTGTAGCTCTTTTCTTAGGTTTAACATTCTTCTTACGTGCCATTTTCATTACTGAGTTTAAATGTCTGGATTACTAGGTACTTATAACTTTAACTTTCCTAGGTATGTTATCATCATCATCATAATCATCATGATCATCTGGTTGAATCTTCCGTTTTCGGTTATGTTGGTTCCATGGAGACGGAATTACGTCACTCATATCTAATTTATTTTGTTTGTTTTCCTTTACTTCATCAGATTCCCTCTTACGTTTTGTACTGCATTTTTTCTCGGGAATTATAACCGGATCATCCAAATCTATTTTTCTTTTTTTCACTTGTTCAGCATTCAATGAAGTAGTAGTAGTAGTGACTGAATCCAGTTTTCTCTTTTTTGGTTTGTTCTTTTGCTCTTCTGTTATATAAGTGTCCATCCATCCAATTGTAGCTTTTGGTTTTTTCGTCTCTTGATTTTTTCTTTTATGTCCTCTAAATCAGACTGGTTTTCGTCCACGCTTAACTTTCGATGTTTCATGTTTCATGTCAGACTTTTTGTTGCTTTCGCGTTTCTTGATTTTTCTTACTTTTTGTACTTTTCTCTCACTAGATATATTTTTTTCCTTATCTTTCAGGTGTATATCTTTTTGGCATGACTGTTCAGTTTGTAGAATTTCTACAGAGTCTTGAACAAGTTTTTGAGACCCCTGTAATTATTTCGCTAATTTATGTAATTTCTTCAAACAATTATTTATTTTACGTTTTTTGTGCCTTTCATAGGTTTATTTTAAATCCATTCCAACTTTTACTTTAGCTTTCATGGCACCTGCTACAGCTAATGCGGCAGCCTCCTCTTTCCAAGACGAATCACTTGCACGAAACCTATCCATTGCCTGTTTTGCTAGCACCTTATCAGGCAAGTGACGATTACTCAGACCTATTTCTTTTGAGTAAAATATATCGTGTTGTTTACAAGCTTCATCCAATTGGTATTGAGTAAGCCTTCACCACCATAGTACTTCATAACACATGAGTAGCAACGGGAATGGTGAGTTTAATCGTGGACGTTACTAGTTATAATACTCCCGTTGCTTAATGCTGTTGTTGTTGATTGATACGCTGCTAGTGATTAGTGGTGTCCATCCAATAAGTAATTCCTTCATATGTTTGCGTTTCATTCTGGAAAAATACTTCGTTCATCATTCAAGTGACTCCTCAATACACCAACATACGACAAAGAAAAATGCAATATTGTTCGGTTTGTGACCGGTTGACAATTTGGCTGTTAAATGAAGAATAATAGCATTCATCACCCTCCCTTTTCCGTATAGTATAAAAAAGAAAAAATCAGATGAAGGTATCATTCTGAGGAAGAACGCCGCGATGAACTGTCTGGATTTAGTTGCTGTTTTAGTGATTCCTTTTTTTACCCTAACAACGTGTTATCAAAATGAACCAGTTGTAGTTACAGATCAGATATTCAACATTGAAGACGGTGTTTTCTATCTGTATGAATTACATAATTATGGAATCACGGAATTTAAGTCGTATCCAGCATTCTATTACTCAGGAAGAGAACTATCCATAGGCACAGAAATTAAAACTCACAACAATCAAACAATTGGATATGTAATTGGACAAGATCTGAACTATTATCCAGTCACAATGAAGCGAAAAGGCACAATTATGTACTGTGGACAATACAATATAAGGCAGTTGGAACGACAGGGATACGTTACTTTCCAAAGAAAAACATACTCTACCAACAGTTTTAAACATACATTTAAACATTTCGACACTTCAGATATACATTGCTTTATACGTATATATGATTGAATACGTTAAGATTCATACTATTTTTTTTTCAACTCAAATACAATATCACACTACCGCTGTCGTTTCATTTCTTCCCTCGCACATATAACTATTATCTCATGACATGAAGGATGGTCGTCGTGGTCGTCGTCGTCATCGTCATCGGTCGCAATTAGGCCAGGCTAGGCTAGGCTAGGGTGGCTGAGGCAGGTTGGCAGAGTGAGTTAGAACCGATGTTGTTTAACTACTTCCGTCCCATTCCCCCAAGTTGGGAATATCATTTCAAAGCGAAGCCTCACTAACTAAGTTTTCAAAAAGCTTTGTGAGAACAGTTTAGCTACAGTTTGCTTTCAGTGACAAAAAGCACAACAGGAAAATGAACAAAAATCAGGCCGAATTTTTTTCTTAGGATGCGATTAGAGGTAATAATAGCCAGCCTTCTAAATGCTAAATTCACTAAACGTAAGAGTCGAATAGAAAAATACCACTTTTTTCTAGCTGCTTTCAATTTCTTTGTGAGCCAAAAACACAAAATACAGCTTTTGTCTTTGAGGTGCCGCGCCGCCGACTGCATAAGCGTACCCGCTGGTTGTTCCACTGCCACATCCATAAGAAAAAAATACATGGATTACTTTTAATACCTATTGAAATTTAAAATATTATTTTGTTTCTCAAATGTCTGGTAATATTTTATTTATATAAAACAGGATAATTTCTTTGTTTAATGCATTAGTTTGTAAATTGAATCAAGAAGCACCTATTCATTTCTTATTTGCAATACCAATGATATTAGAAAGTAAGGCGGAACTCTGAGCTAGGCCCACAGACCACGCCTCTGTTCCTATTCTGGTATGGGCACACCGGTGTATTCAAGGGAGGGCTTTGGGGCTCCTCGGAGTTTCCCCTCCTGAAGCGCAACAGCTCATTACGCTTATTCTACATATTACAGCACGTTATACCTTCTGTGAAGTGTAGCTACCTGGACTAAGCGAGTTCCCCCCTGCTATGCAGTTTTCTATCTCCACGACCCTGGATCCTGAGCCTCCTCCCAGATCTTTTTCTGGATAACACCACTGGTTGAGCAGTATCTCAATCTACAGGAAACGATTACTATCGCGAAATCAACCACAACAGTGGCTTCTACAAATCACTTTTACTCGTATGGACACACTTAAAATTTCCGTCATCGGACTAAACTAGGAAGTCACATATGAATATAAAATTAATAAATCATATCTGATCTTAATCGTTTGTATTAGCATTGTGAGGATTTCTGGAAAAGGAAAAATTCTATATACTTGGATTTCTGCTTAAAGTGGCTGAACCTATCAGTATGTCTACAAAAGTAAGAAGTATGTAGACCAGAATGCAGTTTTTTATAGACACAGAAAGTGGTTGAACTGAATACTTGTGAAACACTTTTCAGAGCTAATGAAATTAGTTGGAAGAAGGATAAATAGCCAGCGCTAATTTCGTAAAGTAAACGTTTTTCATATTTACATTTTAGAAGAGAATGTTCAGTTTCCAAACGTAACTATGTTAGGTAGCCTAGCACTTACGGCTTGTCTATTTAATACCAAAGATCCAACCTACCATATCAGAATTAATCAAACAACCTGGTTCTCCCTGAATATTGAAATTTGAAGGAAATATTTTGCTTTTGAAAAGCCTGGATATATATTACAAATCAATATGTAATGTGCTATTGAAAATCACACCATATTGAGAATTTAATCAAACCTGTACCTCATTAACAGCAATAGCCCACCGCCACTGGAGACAACTCAATCAAGCCACGCGCCTCTATAGAATGCGGTTTCCTTTTATCTATAATTTATTGCTCGGACGTTACCTTCCAGTATCAGTAATGCTTTTTAGACTGTCTTCGGCGCTAAGACAAAGTTACAAATCAGTATTTTGGGAGGCCAGACGATGAAAGAGGTATGTGCAACTTTGATCGCATATTTTTGTCCGTCTTTATGTTCTCCCTGCTCCGCTGCTGAGCTCAGACTCCCCGTTGCCAGACGGCAAACCTGTGACGCGCTTGCGCGGTTGGCGTCTGGATTATTCTAGAAGGCTTCTCCAGTGGCGTAATCAGCGCATGGGTGTCCTCATCAAGGGTTATGCACTTACGCAAAAATAAAATAAAAACGGTAAAACAACCTTATCCTACATTCGGCCATTCCTGACTAGCAGTTCGCCTCGGATTCGCTATCTTCAGGTTCAATCCACCTCTTCATGTACTCAGCACAGGTTGACGTCCTCATTGGTCCTTCGTGGTGACCAATTTTAACTACGTCGTATCGATCTGGATAGTTGACCTGTGTCATCTCGCACGGTCCAAGATACTTGCTAAGTAACTTGAGACCTCCTCCAAATTGGGTACGCTTTATAGCAACTAAGTCTCCTTTCTGGTATTCTCGTGCTTTCCTTCTTCTTAGATTATAACTTTTCCTATTCTCTTCTTGAACCTTGAGTATGTTTTTTTTCGCTTCTGCTCTCAATTCTTCTCGCTCTTCACAAAACTGTTCAGACATTTCTAAAAATTCTTATATTTTCTTTAGTCATCATCTTGATTCCTAGCAGTATCTCAAACAGAGTAGTACCGATACTTCTATCGTGTGTCGAAGTTAATATCATCTGAAATTTGCAAAGTTCTTGATACCATTTCATCGGGTCTTCAATACTCAACTTCGTCAAAACAGGGATGATGCTTCAATTTATCCGTTCGACTTGTCTATTTGCACAGGGTATTCCTATAGTAATTTTGACGCGCTCAATAGTCTCTTCTCGGCAATAGAATTCAAATTATTTGGACGTAAAAGCCGTTCCTCTGTCAGAGATTATCCTTGAAGGGTTGCCAAAGACCTCATGTTGCCTCTTCAGGCAATCTCTGGTCTCCTTTGACGTCGTGGATCTGGTCGGGTATATCTAGACAAACTAGGAAAAATTATCGATTACGATCAACAAATTTTGATACCTTTTCCTGGTGGATGGTAGTGGTCCTAGGTGATCGATATGGTACGTGTGCAATGGTGCATGTTGCTTGTCAATGGGATGCAGAAAGCCTACCTGCTTACCTTCTTTCTTGCTTCCCAGTATGCATGGTATGCCGTTTCTGATACAAGCTTCTATCTTCTCTTTCATCTTCGGTATGAAGTATTCGTTCTTCAACAGCTCTTCTATCTTCTTCACGGAAAAATGTCCCATAATGCCATGTTTCAGTAACTAATCTTCATAATCTTCTAACTTGGCTAGGATTGTCTTTATCGTCTTCAAATTTTCATCTTTTTCTTGAGCTAGTCTTACCCTATCGAATATTCCTTCGTCTTCGGTGATCCTCATTACCACTGGATATCGGCTGAGAGCGACTACGTGTGGAATTCTCCTCTTCTATGTCCTATGGTGTAATCATACTCTTCTAACAACAAAGCCCATCTTGCTACTCTTGTTGTCAAGTCTTTCTTATCCATTGTCTTTTGAAAAGCGGAACAATCTGTAACAATTTTGAATTTTACACCTAATAGGTAAATTCTAAAGTTCTTGACCACCTAAATAACAGCTAAAGCTTCAAGTTCATAACTGCTATACTTCTCTTCAGCTGGTGTCGTTTTTTTGCTAA